CCCCCAGTGAGCCTTCAAACCCACTGGGTGATCTTGACCCAGTCACACACTCTCTCAGACTGATGTACATCACAGGATTGTTGTGAGGAGGAAGGGAAGAGGAAGAAAGCTACATATATTCCTTTGAGCTGATGGGAGAAAAAAAAAACAACCACCAAGATATAAATAGAACAAATAGAACAAATGCCTTCTTACAGCTGGATCAGAATTAGTTATTGCGGGACCATGGCTCAGTCAAATGAACAAACTGTTTTACTTCTTTCCTTTTGAAAAATGATCTCCCATGTTCTTAGCTGAGTTGAATGTACACCAACGTGTGGGACTTACTGCAGGCCACGTTCTGCTCCTTGTAATGCCTGCTTAACTCTTGTGTCAGAACAAGCAGGCCTTAGCAGAAGCAGATACATTGGGAACTGTTTTTCTCAGCACCTTACAACATCCTTTTCCCCTTCAGGACAGAATAAAATAAAACCAATGCAGACTCATTCATTACTTTTGCTAAAATCCAGAGGGCTAGGCCAGGAAGCTGCCTGTATGTATTTGAAAGGCTAATGATCCAAGAGCTTCTTTGAATCATTTTAGCAGAACAGCTCTCTGGGACATTTGGAAATGATTTAGTTAATTCCGTGTTGCTCTACTTCTTTAAGATCCTATACTATTTTTAGAACACCTCCTTGCTTGCCAGCAGCTTTTTGACTCCACAAGAGATGTTGAATGAATACTATTTTCCGCCCCCATTGTCCTTATGTGCTAGACAGGAATGCTGCTGTTCTCATACTTTGATGGCCTTGTTGTTGGTATTCTGCACACAGCTCTACTCATGGCCTTGCTATTATACTTTTGGCAAAGGTGCTAGGTTTTACGGGAATGAATGTGTGCATTTGCACACGGAAGAGAGAGGATGCAAACCAAGGATAACATGAGAAGCCTTTTTTTTTTTCTGGTTAGACGTCTAACCTCATAATGATTCCAGTTTTTGGAATGGACCAGGAAATTTCATCCAAAATGTCCCTCCATCACTGCACAACAAATGGTCCACACTGCAAATAAATGTTTCTGTTCTTTGTTTAAATTGGAGCTGTCATGAATGAGACCACAAAGGTTCAGACATATCAGAGCTATTTGGTTGTGATCCACTGCATTCCACAAAACATCCATTTATTTGAATCCCTATTTTGACTCCTTTCTCATTTATAAGTAGGCTGTTGTTATAAAGTTTGCCTGGGCATAGTCCAAGCCAGACTCAGGGCCTTTGCAGACTGCTAGAAATAGTGCAAATTGAGTCCACTTTAACTGCCCTGGCTCAGTGCTAGGGAATCATAGGAATTGTATTTTTTTCGGAGACATTGAGCCTTCTCTGTCAGAGAGCTCTGGTGCCACAATAAACTACAGTTCCTATGATTCCTTAGCACTGAGTCAGGGAAGTTAAAGTGGACTCAATTTGCAGTATTTCTGGCAGTCTGCAAAGGTCCTCAGTGGCACTGATACCCAAGTAGGAATATGTGAGATTGCATTCTCCTCCCCCCCCTTTTTTTTTTAAAGATCATACATCCTAATTAACATGGCAACATTAAGCAAATTCATAATCTCACCATGGAATTGCAAATATATTATCTTGTATTTGTTTTTGGTCAGACAAAATGATTATTCTGTAGCATCTCAAACAGCACACATGCATAACATAGCATGATCCAAAACCTTCAATTGCATCTTTAAAGCATCTATTATGTGCAGTTTTGAAATAAAGATGTTTATAGAATCTTTAGGAGACATGTTTAAAATAATGTTTAACTTAGGTTAAACCCATTTTAAAATATTTATTTTAATGTCTTTATTGTTCTTTAAGAATTCTGCCTTTTAAATTTTTGTTTATTTTTAACACTTGATTTTGATTAAATTCACATTTAATTATTATTATTTATTTTGTTTTGTAATTCAGAAAAGTCAGATTGGGCTCTAATGCCCCCCCCCCCACCTTTTTTTGTTTCTAGAGTAACAGAAACACTATGGCTTTGTGTTTTTAGAAACATATTATTCCATCATGCACATAACCCATTGCTAACACTCCATAATCAATGTATTATAGCTGAAGAAATAAAGTGGAACTGAATGGCTCTTGAATCCACTGATTCCTTATGGGGAGGCTGATCTGCAAATATCTATCTGTCTGAACCAGAGCGATTTAGAACAGTAGATTGTTAGCAGAAGGCAAAGAAGAAACCAACATTCTCCCTATATTTTACTATGCTTGGCAAATCTGTGCTGCTTTCAGTTCCCATCTGTTCAAATCAGCATTTCCTGAACTGGGAAAATTTGAAACACATTTTCTCTTGGTCTAAATTGTGAGCACACATTGCTCTCTCTACCTGAAAAGCCTTACTTTGAGAGTTTGCTATGGATAAGAAATAGAGCTTGGAAAAGTTACCATATATACTCGATTATAAGTCAAGTTCATGTATAAGTTGAGGGAAGTTTTTGGGCCAAAATTATGGATTTTGATATGAGCTGTGGATACATCAATGGTAAAATATACGAGCATGGAACAAAGGATTGAAAGGATGAAGCAAAGAAAAGAATGCCATAGAATTTACAAAATTCCAGCAGGCATAACAATTTGTGCACATACTGAAGGCTGGATGGAAGAGAGCTTAGAGGCAGGGGGACATTGCTTCCAGGACAGATTACTCTTTTGCTTTTCACCAGGGGATGGTTCCTTTTTAAAATAAGAGTTAAAGTACAGCACTTATATTGACCCGTGAATAAGTCGACTTATCAAAGCAGCTTCATTTATACATCGCTTCATACCACGCTATGGGGTATCTAAGCGGTTTACAATTGTGAGCTGATTGCCCCCCAACAATCTGGGTACTCATTTTAGCGACCTCGGAAGGATGCAGGCCTGAGTCGAGCCTCAGCCCTGGCTGGCATTGAACTCGCAACCTTGTCGTTTATGAGTGAGTGTCTGCAGTACAGGCATTTAACCACTGCACCACCAGGTTTTTGGGGCAAATTTTTTGACTAAAATTGCTAGACTTATACATGAGTATATACAATATATTTTTAACACTACAGTTCCCAAACCCCTCCAGCTAGCATGACATCCCCCCTATAAAGGATATTGTGTTTTCTTTTTCTTCTTTCTTTCAGTCTCTTGCAAGAATAATATCTCCTTCTCTGCCCTGTCTGTTCCAATAACATTAAACTGATTACATTTGTACAAACTCTTTGGTTTATGGGCTTGAGCATTTACAGTACCAAGCTAGGAGCTGCCTCAGACTGACTTCCATCAATATTTAATGCAAGGGAGTTGTAACATCAGATGGATTTCTTTAGACAATTCTAATGTTGCAACAAGAAACTATCTGACAATAATGGAAAGTACACTGTAAATCTAGTAGGCCTTAGGAATAAGATGTTCAGATGGGGGATGTCTTTTATGTGCTTTGATAGCAAATTATCTCATATGGTAGTGACCATTTAGGGAATATGCATTTCCTTTCTACATTTGTCTATTCCTTCACCCTTCTTTTTCCAGGTTCAATTCTCTTGCTTCCTTTAAAAGCAAGAGAGTTGCTTTTTTTCTTGTATTCTTTTAAAGTATTTTAAACACTTTTATATTTTCAACTATATTTTATTCTTTTACAAGTAATCTGTTTTAATAGTGTAATAATTAAATTCTGTTTTAATGTAACATTTTTCTATGTTTTTAATTCACTCTGAGCCCCAGTTTTGGGGGGAAAGGGTGGGATGATGATGATGATGATGATGATGATGATGATGATGATAATAATAAATCAGTTGTACCCAAATTTTGGTCCTCTAGGTGTTTGGGACTTCAGCTCCCAGGATTACTGATTGTTGGTGAGGCTGGCTGAGGCTTCTGGGAGTTAAAATCCAAAAATCTCAAGGACCAAAATTTGAGAACTACTGTTTTAGATGAAAAAGATTTCCATGTTCCATATGGCCAGGAACCAACAGATCTCAAAGCAGGCTAATGGTGACTGGTGGTTTCCATGTTGCTGGGATGGTTAATCCCCAGTGAGCTATAGCAGGTACTGGTCTTACTTTGGAATAGTGCTCAGTTCCTTGGATTGCTCATTTGGAGCTTAAACTAGCATCTTGATTCACTGCTCCATTGACAAGAAGCAGTGAAGACTTTGAGGTGTTCCCACCACCATATATTAAAGAGAGGCCCTTGAGGTTGTGAAACTTTATAGGAACTCAGGCATTTTATCCCTGTTTCTATAAACCACCACCATAATGTACCGTCCCATACACAGTTGTTCATAAACCTCTGGTGACCATGGCTGGTTATTAGAGCTTTCATGTTAGTCTTCAACTCTTTGCTTTAGAGCCAAACTAGATGTAAAGCTAATGGAACTATAAAGATAAAGGGATTCCCCTTTTACAAGGTTGTCAAGTTATATCTGACTCTAGAGGGCAGTGCTCATCTCCATTACTAAGCCGAAGAGCCAGCGTTGTCAAAGATGACTCTGTGGTCATGTGGCCAGCATGACTGCACAGAACGCTGTTACCTTCCCACCAAAGTGGTACTTATTTATCTACTGGCACTTTTACATGCTGTCAAACTATAGGGAACTATAGGATGGGATTTTTAAAAAATTAAATAATAATGCCAGGTAGTACCTGAGTTACCTAAGGGGACTTTAGCTCTCCTCACTTCTATTGTGGGAAGCCTCTACAGGAATGAAAGGAGGCTTTCTTCCCAATGTAAAGAGAAGTTTCAGGGGTTTGTGAATTTTGTTGAAGCCACAGTAGGGTTTTCCCCTTCATGCAATCCTGTTTGCTTAGTGTCCCCCAGCCCTGCAGCAGTGGCTTTTTCCATTCTTACCCCCCCCCCCAACATGTACATGTATGATGACTTTATTATTAGTGAACCACTTCTGCACAGTTTCACTCATGGCTGCTGTACAATTGCATGCATGCTTATTGCAACTGGATAATAATGAAATTAATGTCATATCTGGTCTTGCCCAAAAGCCCATGTGGTGGAGTGGTTTGAGCATTGGACTGTGACCTTTGAGAGACCAGGGTTCAAATCCCTGCTCAGCCATGGAAACCCATTGGGTGATCTTGGGTATGTCATATTCTCAGCCTCAGAGGGGAACAAATGGAAACCACCTCTGAATAAATCTTGCCAAGAAAACCCAATGAGAAGTTTGTCTTATGGTCACCATAAGTTGGAAATGACTCGAAGGTGCACAGCAATTGTTGTGGCTCATAGTAATAAGTCAATAGCTCTTGCTGACCTACTGATTTAGTCTTGCAAATATCCATTTTCAGTGAGAACTGAATACTTCTTAGCCTCTTTTCCATACACTGATTCAGCCTTCTGTAAGCAAATTCTCTGGTTCTGGCCCTGTAGAAGCTGGGCCGTTCTGACATGTTCCAAACCTTGCTATCTCATCTACAATTCCAGTGGATGCTAACCTGACATTGACCCTCTGGTTGCCTTGTAAACTTCTTTAATTATTCCTGTCTACCTTCATCACCACTACTGTGGCTGGATTTGCTGCACTTTCCTTCCTAAGGGCCTATTCTTACTGTAGTCTACAATGGGACAACTTGGCAAAAGTCTGTTGCAACAATTTGAGTAAAGCATCTTTAAAACTGCCTTCTCTGCTCAACATCCTGATTCTCCAGTTTTGCATGCTAATACTAAATTTCCTAGTTCACATCTAAACCCATTTTCCCTTTAGAGCTTTAGAGTTTCTAAAGATTGGCTCCTGATGACTACACTGATGCTGAGGGAGGATGTAGCGGAGGATGCAAAAGGAAGAGGCTGTCAAATAATAGACATTAATGAAATACGCAAAGTGAGTTCAAATCATTTTGGCTTTCCAGGAACAAACGACAGCAGACAGCCAAGTATGTCTGCTCCTTTGGGAAACCCTATATGTTTCATATGGCTAATCATCCAAGAACCAGGTTCACAAGTTTTCTTCGTTCAGTAAAATAAAACATGAGTTTGAATTGTTTGCGTTAATTAGTCAATCCCTTCCTATCTCAAAAAAAAAAAAATTAAAAATAAAATAAAAATAAAAAAAAGAAGTGACTGGAGAAGAATGGTACCATCAGGCAATTCATGGCAGATACAGCCTGATCACTGCAACATTTTAATTGATGTAAACAGGACAGGGATCTGCTGTCTGTATTATTCCTTTCTGAAGTCAGACAAAAGCAATTAGTCATGATGCCTATATATTCCAGGCTAATATTCCAGATCTCACCTGGAATACTGTGTCCAGTTCTGGGCACCACAATTCAAGAAGGATGTTGAGAAGTTGGAGTGTGTCCAAAGGAGGGCAACCAAAATGATGAAAGGTCTGGAAACCATAAAGCCCTATGAGGTGCAGCTTAAGGAGCTGGTTATGTTAAGCCTGGAGAAGAGAAGGTTAAGAGGTGACACAATAGCCCTGCTTAAATATTTGAAAGGATATCATACTGAAGATGGAGCAAGCTGGTTTTCTGCAGCTCCAAATAATAGGACCTGGATCAGTAGATTCAAACTACCAAAAAAGAGATTCCACCTCAACATTAGGAATAATTTCCTGACAGTAAGAGCTGTTGGACAGTGGAATACACTTCCTTGGAGTATGGTGGAGTTTCCTTCCTTGGAGGTTTTTAAACAGAGACTGGGTGGCCATCTCTTGGGGGGGGGCTTTCATTGTGTATTCCTGCATGGCAGGGGGTGGGACTGGATGGCCCTTGAGGTCTCTTCCAGCTCTATGATTATATAACAAGTGTCAAAAGCAGGATGCATCTGGATATCTGTTGCTGAGAAGCACCAATAAGGGCACTGAGGTCTGCTGGATGGGCATTTCTGTGCATCTCACTCATGGAAGTAATATACTATGTGCGGTTGCAAGAGAGTGCCTTCTCTGCTGTGGCACCCCAGTTGTGGAATACCCTTCCCTTAGAAGCCTGAGTGATGCAGATGATGGTTTCATTCCAACCCTTTAAAACAGTTGGGGGCCTAATGATTTCATCTAAATTGGTATACATACATGGTCTTAAACTGTTTTAGCCTTTTTAAATTATACAATACCGTATTTTCTGGTGTATAAGATGACTTTTTAACCCTGGAAAAGGGTCTCAAAAGTTGAGGGTCATCTTATATGCCGGGTAGAGAAGGAGGAGGATGAGAACGAAGGGAGAAAGAGAGGAGAGCCAGAAGAGAGGAGGATGAGAATGAAGGGAGAAGGGGAAGGAAGCCAGTTCTACAGTTTGGATGCAGTCTGAATCTGCACTGCAGAAATAATGCAGTTTGACATCACTTTAACTGCCATGACTCCATCTAGGGACTCCTAGGATCTGCAATTTGCTTTGTGGTGCCAGAGCTCTCTGACAGAAAAGGCTAAATATCTCACAAAACTGCAAATCCCAGAATTCCATAGCCTTGAGCCAGAGCAGTTAAAGCGGTGTCAAACTTCTTTAATAAATTTCTGTAGTGCAGACACACCCAAAGTTGATGTGTTGCTTGGGCATGGCTTCTTTAACAAATAATTCT